CCTTTGTTTACAGTCACGACGCCGCCTGCGAGCACTTCCGCCCGGCCGGGTAGAGTGCGTAGCCTCGGGTGTTCTGGAGATCTCAGGGATGAGTCGAGGATTGGTGATAAAACTGTTGGAAAAGTGCACACCAATATCCAAAAGCTTCTGTCGGGAGTAAGATGTTAAGGCAAAGCTGTTCAGTGCGAACAGGCCCGAGATGAGCAGGAAAAATACTACAAAATTGCAAAAACTGGAGAGACGCTGAGCCTCGCGATGTGTACGCACCGCCATCTTGGTCATGCGTCTATTGTGGCCGTATGACCATGACATCGCTGCAATCACGTCTCTCCCTCCTCAAGGGGAGTGGAGCAGACCCCTCGGGTGTTGTCGCTACTGCCGAATCGGACCCAGAGCGGTCGGCCATGCTTACCCAGGCAGCTGTGAGCATCAAGCTGGAGGTGACTACACCACCCAGCCCTGAGCGCTGGCGGCTGGATGATTGGCTTCTCGGTGCGGAGCGCGGCTCACAACCGCGTTCTGCTCCGGTTCCTTTCTTCCCGGAGGTGCATGAAGAGGTGACGAAGACCTACGGCCAGAAGCTACTCGTCTCCATCTTCCATCCTCACTACTCTCGATGGCGGGGCAGCCAGGGGGTACGTGGACATTTCCCAGGTGGAGAAAGCGGTTGCAGTGCACTTGTGCCTGCAAAACGCCACCACTTGGAGAAATCATTCACGTCTCCCGTCCAAAGCCTGTAAGCTGTCGCCGGTTCTCGCTGCCAAAGTTTACAGTGCTGCAGGCCAAGATGCCTCTGCCCTGCATGCTATGGTGATCCTGCAGATACATCAAGCCAAGGCACTCAAACAAATGCACGAGGGTAATACCAACCCAAGGTTGATGCAGGAGCTGCGCACGTCAACTGACTCGGGAAGGCGATGTCCACTCTGGTGGTTCAGGAGCACCATCTCTGGCTCAACCTTGCTGAGATGAGAGATGTTGACAAAGTACACTTTCTCGATGCTCCCATTTCCCAGGCTGGCCTGTTCGACGACACTGTCGAGGACTTTGCCCCGCACTTTTCGGCAGTACAAAAGCCGACTGAGGTCATTCAACACATCTTGCCCTGACGTGATCCTCCAGCTGCCACCATTCCATTGCGGGCCTAGTATCAGCCTGCTCGTCGCTGTGGGCGCCTTCCTGCCTCCTCCACACCGGCTCTGCCTGTGCTGAGACACTGTCGAGGCCGGCGCGTTGAGCCCCACGCAGGAGAGTGGCGCCCCCTGTGTCGCACCCGGATGCTAAGTCCTCCAAGAAGACGACGAAGCGGCCCTGACACGGACAACCCGGAGATGTGGGAGCCTGCTCTTCAGGAGGTGGCGAGGACAGCGCCACTCCTTCCCCCGGAGGAGGGCTGGGCAGAGAATCTTTTGTTTCATTTTCTTTCTGTTCTGCTGCTGGCTCAATCTCTTGCACAAGGAGATTTTGTCCTATTGGTGAAGGATGCAATCAAGCCGGTCCCTCCAGCCGAGATGAGGAAGGGGTTTTACAGCCCTTACTTCATCATAACCAAGAAAAGCGGTGGCCTTCGACCTATCTTGGATCTGTGAGTCTTGAATCAAGCCCTTCACAAGCTTGATGCATGAGGTTGATGCAGAAACGTATTATCAAATGCGTTCAAGCCCAGGATTCGGGCATTGCAGTACAAGATCCTCACCTTTGGGCTCTCCCTGTCCCCCGTGTCTTCACAAAAGTCACAGAGGGCGCCCTTGCTCCTCTATGGGAAGTTGACATCAGGATCCTCAACTATCTTGACGACTGGCTCATCATGGCCTGGTAGCGAGAGGAGTTGTGCGTTCACAGGGACTTGGTGCTCCGGCACCTTAGTCAGTTGGGGCTTCAGGTTAACCGAGAGAAGAGCAAGCTCTCCCCCGTTCAGAGAATCTCTTAACTTGGTATGGAGTTAGACTTGGTGAGTATGATGGCACATCTCACCAAAGAACGTGCCCAGTCAGTGCTGAGTTCCTTCAGAGGCAGGACGGTGTTACCACTGAAACACTTTCAGAGGCTCCTGGGGCATATGGCATCCACAGCCACAGTCACGCCGCTCGGATTGCTTCATATGTTCATATGAGACCATTTCAGCACTGGTTACACTCCCGAGTCCCAATATGGGCATGGCGCTGCGGTAAATATCATGTCACCATCACACCGATGTGTCCCCGCCTATTCAGCCCCTGGTCGGTCCTTGCTTTTCTACGGGCCGGGCTGCCCTTAGAACAAAGTGTCATTGTCACGACAGATGCCTCCAATACGGGCTGGGGCGCTACGTGCAATGGGCAGGCAGCCTCGGGGTCATGGACAGCCTCGAGGTTTGCTTCCCATGAGGCCTCCCACTGCCAGCTGTACTATTCCCTGACCCAGGCCCCCCTGGGCACGATGCACTGGCACACAGCTGGCCCCGGGCTCTACGCAAGTATGTGTTTTCCCCAGTGAGCCTGCTCGCACAAACTCTGTGCAAGGTCAGGGAGGATGAGGAACAGGTCCTGCTGGTTGCGCCTTACTGGCCCACCCGGACCTGGTTTCAGAACTCATGTTCCTTGCGACAGCCCCTCCCTGGCGCTCCTTCCTCAGGGGCTGGGCACTATATGGCACCCACGCCCAGATCTGTGGAACCTCCATGTGTGGCTCCTGGACGGGATGCGGCAGACCTGAGTGAGGCTAGCCTATGCTTTGAAGTGGAGTCTGTTGAATTGGTGTCCTTCTCACCGAGAAGACCCCCGGAGATGCTTGATTAGATTCATGCTTTCTTTCCTGCAAGAAAGGTTGGAACGTAGGTTGTCACCTTCCACTTTGAATGTGTATGTTGCTGCTATTGCAGCACATCACGATGCAGTGGATGGCCGGTCCCTGGGGAAGCATGACTTGATCGTTAGGTTCCTGAGGGGTGCCAGAAGGTTAAATCCTCCTAGAACACCCCTGATATCCTCCTAGGATCTCTCTGTTGTCCTGGCTGGACTTCAGAGGGGTCCCTTTGAGCCGCTTGAATCAGTCAAGCTAAAGTTCCTGACTGTTAACACAGCACTCCTGATCGCGCTCACTTCCATCAAGAGGGTCGGGGACCTCCAAGCATTTTCGGTAAGTGAAGAGTGCCTTGTGCTCGGGCCGGCCTACTCTCACATTGTCCTGAGACCCCGGCCTGGTTACGTGCCCAAGGTTCCCACCACTCCATTCCGAGACCAGGTGGTGAACTTGCAAGTGCTGCCCCCGGAGGCAGATCCAGCCTTGGTGTTTCTGTGTCCCGTAAGAGTGTTACGCATTTACGTGGACTGCACCCAGAGCTTCAGAAGCTCTGAGCAGCTACTTGTCTGCTACGAAGGTTAGCAGAAAGGGAAGGCTGTCTCCAAGCAGAGGTTGGCCCACTGGATAGTGGATGCCATCGCCTTGGCGTACCAATCCCAAGGCGAGCCGTGCCCCCTGGGGGTGACACTCAGGGAGTGTTGCCTCCTCCTGTGCACTGGTGCATGGTGCCTCGCTGCAGGCTGGGCGACACATAACACCTTTGCGAAGTTTTACAACTTTTGTGTAGAAGTTTCTTCCCGTGTGGGTAACAGGTAATTGGCGGGAACAACTGGCTCAGTGTCACGCTTGCTTGCGCCATTCCCCCTCACACGGAGATGTGAGCGCCTTTCTTCTCCCAGTAGAGTTCCCCGGTTAGCGAACCCTGGTCGAGCATCCTCCAGCACCCCCCGGCAGTCAGACTTGGCGGAGCAGTCTGATGCCAGGCCCAGTACTGGTGTTACCATGCCCGGAGTTCCGGTCAGCCCCTGTACTGGGCTAGGTGTCCATTTGGCTTGATTCCCTGTGGGCAATCATATATGTGTATTCTTCCACGGTAAGGTTTCCCTCTTGGAAACCCGTGCCTTCCCTTGACAGACCCACTCTGTCAGTCTCTTCTGGCAGTTGTTCCATCCCTACTCTAAGGTAGGACCTGCCTCAGAGACCCATTCCACATGTAGTACTGCCCCCTTACGGGTAGGATGTGGTCTCCGTAACAACTTTTTCCTGAAGGCTTGCTTCCCTATCGTTCTGCCAGGCTGAAAAAACAAATAGGGAAGATTTCAAGCAATCTTCCACTGAAGGTTGAAATCCCTTCCAAAAACTTTTTGTGGACGGAACAGCAGCTTGTGTTCAGGTTGTGGCGTTTTACCCCTAGACCCCTAATGTCGTCACAACATTACTCGTTGTGACCGACAGATAGGGAACGTCTCGGTTACGTACTGTATGTAACCCTCGTTCCCTGATGGAGGGAACGGAGACGTTATGTCAACATGCCACAACCTAGAACCACTCGCTGTTGCCGGGACACGTTCTCGGCTCCTCAGCGTAAAAGCCTAATGAGTGGATGCACGCTGTCGCCTTATATACCCATGTGCACGGGGAGTGGCTTAGCATGCAGATTCCACTAGCCAATTCTCAGTGGCATTTTCTCTTAAACTCAGAGATGATTGGGCTCCCAAGTTAGACCCCTAATATAGTCACAACATAACATCTCCGTTCCCTCCATCAGGGAACGAGGGTTACATACGTAACCGAGACGTTTCCATGGCCGAGCAGCTACATGCAATCCTCAAATCACTAAGTCATGAATGGATGATTTTGGTGTGGAAGAACTCAACGTTATCAAGTCAGGAAGACCTTTATCATGTGGATCATCTTCTTTGTTTTGTTTGTAAATAAAATTTCACGCATGCTGCTCACCGGAGTGACAATGGTCTCCTGGTCAGCCCATCCATCGGCCCAGTGTCTTTTTATCATATGCAAAGTTGTTTCATTTTTTCCTGCTCCGACATTGCACGTTCATGGATTTTCTTTGTTTTGTTTGTAAATAAAAGTAAACTGCTGCATTTAGATCCACATCTCATCTCCTTAACATGGCTGCACCATAGCAAAATCTGCATATTTGCTAAACCATTTTCAACATACAACATTTGTGATGCACTAATCCTAAGTGAACTCACCATTGTCCAGATACCGCACAGTGGAGTTTTTAGAAAAACTGGGATCAAAGTTTGCCATGAGTGGAGCAATATACTGCGTAGCTGTCAGCATGCGGTGTGTTATCTCTCCAGTGAAAATAAACCCTAAAAAATATTAAGAGTTCAAGCACAAGATACAACATTTCCCACAAAAAGGCTGTATTGTTTTAGTTGTTTCACAAAAGGGCTATGCTAATTAAGATAAATATTTTGTGCATTATTATTGCATACCAGGATAGAACAAACACCTTTCTGTTTAATAATATGGCAAAGGTTATGGTTTTCTTTTATTATTATTATTTTTTTATATTGCAATTACTACACCTTAGCAGTCTGATGCCAGGCCCAGTACTGGTGTTACCATGCCCGGAGTTCCGGTCAGCCCCTGTACTGGGCTAGGTGTCCATTTGGCTTGATTCCCTGTGGGCAATCATATATGTGTATTCTTCCACGGTAAGGTTTCCCTCTTGGAAACCCGTGCCTTCCCTTGACAGACCCACTCTGTCAGTCTCTTCTGGCAGTTGTTCCATCCCTACTCTAAGGTAGGACCTGCCTCAGAGACCCATTCCACATGTAGTACTGCCCCCTTACGGGTAGGATGTGGTCTCCGTAACAACTTTTTCCTGAAGGCTTGCTTCCCTATCGTTCTGCCAGGCTGAAAAAACAAATAGGGAAGATTTCAAGCAATCTTCCACTGAAGGTTGAAATCCCTTCCAAAAACTTTTTGTGGACGGAACAGCAGCTTGTGTTCAGGTTGTGGCGTTTTACCCCTAGACCCCTAATGTCGTCACAACATTACTCGTTGTGACCGACAGATAGGGAACGTCTCGGTTACGTACTGTATGTAACCCTCGTTCCCTGATGGAGGGAACGGAGACGTTATGTCAACATGCCACAACCTAGAACCACTCGCTGTTGCCGGGACACGTTCTCGGCTCCTCAGCGTAAAAGCCTAATGAGTGGATGCACGCTGTCGCCTTATATACCCATGTGCACGGGGAGTGGCTTAGCATGCAGATTCCACTAGCCAATTCTCAGTGGCATTTTCTCTTAAACTCAGAGATGATTGGGCTCCCAAGTTAGACCCCTAATATAGTCACAACATAACATCTCCGTTCCCTCCATCAGGGAACGAGGGTTACATACGTAACCGAGACGTTTCCATGGCCGAGCAGCTACATGCAATCCTCAAATCACTAAGTCATGAATGGATGATTTTGGTGTGGAAGAACTCAACGTTATCAAGTCAGGAAGACCTTTATCATGTGGATCATCTTCTTTGTTTTGTTTGTAAATAAAATTTCACGCATGCTGCTCACCGGAGTGACAATGGTCTCCTGGTCAGCCCATCCATCGGCCCAGTGTCTTTTTATCATATGCAAAGTTGTTTCATTTTTTCCTGCTCCGACATTGCACGTTCATGGATTTTCTTTGTTTTGTTTGTAAATAAAAGTAAACTGCTGCATTTAGATCCACATCTCATCTCCTTAACATGGCTGCACCATAGCAAAATCTGCATATTTGCTAAACCATTTTCAACATACAACATTTGTGATGCACTAATCCTAAGTGAACTCACCATTGTCCAGATACCGCACAGTGGAGTTTTTAGAAAAACTGGGATCAAAGTTTGCCATGAGTGGAGCAATATACTGCGTAGCTGTCAGCATGCGGTGTGTTATCTCTCCAGTGAAAATAAACCCTAAAAAATATTAAGAGTTCAAGCACAAGATACAACATTTCCCACAAAAAGGCTGTATTGTTTTAGTTGTGTTTCACAAAAGGGCTATGCTAATTAAGATAAATATTTTGTGCATTATTATTGCATACCAGGATAGAACAAACACCTTTCTGTTTAATAATATGGCAAAGGTTATGGTTTTCTTTTATTATTATTTTTTTTTTATATTGCAATTACTACACCTTTCAAACTGCATTATTTATTTAATTATTTTTACTCTCAAACACAACCACCATAAAAAATTATATCTACCTAGAGGTCAATTTGCACACATTTAAAAAAAAATTCAAAACAGTTTTTTTTACAGTTGCTATGACTCATTTCTCAATACTTAAATTACTTTTTCAAAACTCTTCCCACAGTTTTCCACAACAACTTTCTTGCCATAGCAGTTATTTTTACATTTGAAATAAAACTGCTAAAAAATGTCATACGTCTCATTCTTCCATTACACTAGCAAAGTTTATTACCAACAAGCACACTTTGTCAATCACAAAACATTGACTTAAAAAACACTAACAACAGGTAGCATTATACAATGTTTTATATCAATTTTCTATACAAAACAAGAATACAAAACCTCTACTGTTAAGAATTAAATGCAGTATATGTTACATAGTCCATATTTACATTACTTAAAAAAATATTCCCAAGTTGCCCCTTTTTGTATAGATGGTAATGAAATCAAAAGACTAACATCTGTGTAGGTGTTTAGCTACATCTAATTGATTTGATACAATTTTATAATTTACTTTGGTACTATTTTCACATAAAAGACATAAATTAACACCACTAGTCTATTTTTCAAAACCTGTTCTCAATCTTCCATTGCAGTTATATATTTTAGTCAACCTAATCATTGTTTCAAAACACAAGATCTTTGTCAAATATAATGATGTATGTATGATCTTCTTTCAATTTAGTACTTTAACAATCAGTTAAAGTCAATCGCAAACAATACATGCTTCAAATCCTTGTTGATGAACTAAAGATGTTACAGTAATAAAAAATACAGTTGTCACGTTAGAAAATACACTAATTACCTAACTTATGTAATTGACATAACATCTATAACGTTTGCAATAGTATCCATTTAGTGTTATCAAAAGGTGTTATAAAGGTATAACACGGCCATGAGGTTAGTTGACTTTTTCAGATGAATAGTAAATACCAGTAATTTGTCAGCCTCCACCAGGGCCTCTGTTTACAGTATGCTGAAATGTTGTATTTGATTCCATCTGTCTCCTTTCTTCTCATGCACCTCTGATCAATCTGATGGACACACAGTCACTGACTATTTCCTCTCCCTTCTACTCTATCCTTTTCTACAGTATGTTCACAAATTTCAAATGTTCTCTCTCTCTTTCTCTAATAAACACACACAAAAGCACATTGAACAATGTGGTTATCATCAAAGATAAATCGCTTATAATCGCTTTTTAACAAGAATATTAAATATTATATTTGGTTTTGCATTTTGGAAATTGATAGAATTTTGAAATATATGAAAATCTATAGATGTACCAATGATTCATTGATTAACTATTAAGATCAGATGGGTTAAATGTTATGACAAATGTATTCTCACTTGCTTACACACATTGAACGGATTCAGTTGGCCCAATTTCCCAAACCATTCTTTCAGTTTTCATAACAAAGACACATTTCTCAAAACTATAAACACATTTCACTTGTTTTCACACACATTCCAATTTTCTCCTTGTTTTCTGCTAAACTCTACACAAAATACCCTAATTTTACACAGGTTTAACCATGTTCTCATTCAGAAAGCACAAGTACACAATATAATTAACTCAAGTCATCATTTATCCACGTGTAAACATTTAGTAGAAAAACTGATGACACACCAGTCAGAATTTCAGAAATAAATAAAAAGGAAATTTGTTCCTGAGCAATGATGAAAGAACCTTTTCTATTATATGTACAATAAATACTGTAGCACATTGTACACCTTCAAACTCAGAGCTGACAGATTGATTTGTAGCCAAGTACTTCTTAAACTTACTGTATTCTTGCATAACAACTGCCTAGGGGAGGTAGAGAAAGCCTTTTGTCAGAAGACTAAAAAACTTCTCTAGTATTGCAAATTACCAATACCAATTAAACTGCAAGCAGCATTGAAAGGGCCCTCGCACCCGGAGCCACCTCCACCTGGTTGGCTTAGGAAAACCGTGAATGGTGGGCAATATGCATTTAAAGTGGTACTGTAAATATAGGATGAATATGTCAAAACGTAAAACGTTACTTCCTGTTTGCCAGCAGGTGGCACTATGACTATAATCATCGCGATGGCACCGACGCTGATGGCTGCCTTCGTGGCGTGCTCCGCAGTTGTTTTTACGTTTTTGTTAGTTTGTCCTGTCTTTAGTTATATCCCTGCAATCAGTTTCACAAGATCCCAACCAAACGGACGAGCTACTTCTGCTTTCCTGGACAAATAAGGATTTTTCAAACTCTGCTGCTCTGTGTTTCATGGAAACCTGGCTCAAAGATGCCATTCCGGACGGCGTGCTGAGTCTCCCGAGCTTTCAGCTGTTCAGAGCGGATCGCGACGCAGAATCAACGGGGAAATCACGTGCCGGCAGGACATGCTTTTACATCAATGAGAGGTGGTGTACAGATGTAATTGTGTTAAATAAGATGTGCTGTTCAGATATAGAAGTGCTCTTCATTAACTGTAAGCCTTTCTACTTGCCGCGGGAGTTTTGTTCGTTCATTCTCGCCAGTGTCTACATTCCTCCGCAAGCACATGTGAGCTCTGCTTTACAGAAACTCGCTGATCAGATCACAGACACAGAACAACAACACCCGGACTCTGTTTTAATCATTCTCGGGGACTTTAATAAAGCAAATCTCTCCCGTGAACTGCCAAAATACAGACAGCACATCACATGTCTCACCAGAGACAGTAATATATTCGATCACTGTTACACCACAATAAAGAATGCATATCACTCTGTTCCATGAGACATGTGCATTCCTACCAGGACTCATTTAACCTACAACAATGACAAACCATGGTTCACTGCAAAACTCAGACAGCTCCGTCAGGCCAAAGAAGATGCTCACAGGAAGGGGGACAATGTCTTGTATAAACAGGCTAAATACACACTGGAAAAGGAGATCAGAGTGTCAAAGAGGAATTATTCTGAAAAATAAGGATTCAATTCTCTTCTAGTGACTCAGCATCAGTGTGGCAAAGTCTGAAAGATATCACCAACTACAAGACACCATCCCCCAGCACTGTGGAGAATCAACAACTGGCAGACGACCTGAATGAGTTCTACTGCAGGTTTGAAAAAACACCCCACACCCACCCTGAACACCTCTCC